CCCAGTTTGTTAACAAGCTTTAGTTCTCTTGTTTTACAATGTACTCATGTTGGGTGATTACTACTGAAATGGAATTATTTCTGCTGCTTGAATATATAACTAAAATTTTAACTCAAAATAATAATGAGTAACAAATGCTTTTGTTAATGCATGACTGCTCATGGAAGATTGTTTTGTAAGTGCACCTATCTGGCTGGTTCCATACAGTTTTCCTAACAAAGGCTTACAGATAGCAAATAAAGAGGGTGTAGGAGTTAAAACAGTCTGTCTTAAACCATGATTCAAATTTTGAACTAATGTTCTCTATGTACAATATAGTTACTACAGGAGCTGTTAAAGGTAAAAATCATGAAAGCGAGGACATAATAAAGGTGTAGAGTAGTAGATGGTAGGTAATTTGGGGTAGCGTCATGATAAGAATGAAGAGTTTTAAAAGTCAGTGTAATGAATATGAGGAAGACACAAAGGTGGTATGTTGTGTTCAAAACCAGGCATTTCATTGCTAGATTCCAGAGACTTTTTTCAGCCTTTGTTCCCGGCTTTGTTCTGTTTCATAAGCTGCTGGACAATAAAATGGTCACTGGGGCCTTGGACCCACTGCCAGAAACATAATTTCTGGTCTGGGTTTCAAAATGGTATAACTTTAAAATGATTTGGAGGTAAGTTCGTAGTATAAATTGCTTGGCTTGTGTGATGTATTCCCTTCCCTCTCCTTACCCTTCTGCATTCACCAACTCCAAAGCAGGAAGGTGTTTAGTTCAGTAAAACTAATCTCTCAATAGAAAAGTGTATTTATTTAGTTTGTTTGCTATTCTCGATTGTTGAAAGAAGGACCAATTTTGTGGCAGCCCAAAATCTCCATGGTCTGGCCTCTTGCCTGAAGGTTAAATGCTACAGGAATTAAAACCTTTTTAAAGATGTAGATATTGGTTATCAGTACAGTACAGTCGCAACTTACGCATATTTAACTTGCGCGAATTCAGCTTTATGCGCTTGGCTGCTGGGGCTGGCCGCAGGGTGCCGGCCGGGGCATGGCGCTTAGTGCGGCGCCACGTGGTATTGCCTGCATGCGCTGGCATGCCTTGGGGGCTCACACTCAGCTGGCCGCCTTCTCCAAGCCTGGCGGCGGCTACTCGGCACTGAGCCTGGCGATTTCAGCTATACGCAATTTCAACTGTACACGCTGACTTCAGAACGTACCCCCCACGTAAGTTGCGATTGTACTATATTATAGTTCAGTTTGCAACTGTCTTCATTTTAACTGTCTCCTTTTTTTGGTCTGTCTTTACCTATTTCTCAATTGGAACTGAAACTTAACAAGCCTTTGCTTTTCTGGAGTTTGAGGAAAAGTAATTAAAATATGAGAAAAGGAAAATATGTGCCTTATCTGTGCTTCAGCCTAATCTGCAGAGATGCTGAGCAGGCATGTGTAAGTCAGTGGGATCTTTTAAATTTCTTGCTCAAGATTGTTTCAGGTAAAGAGATTTTAGTCAGCTAGCATATACCTAATCTTTGATGTCCCTTGCTGACACTATAAGAGGAGAAAAATCAAAATTCAAGGTTTTGGGGAAGATATCCCCAGAATACAGTCACTTGCTGAAACTAGTAAAATGTAAACAAGCTATGAGAGGAGACATAACTGCCCCCTACTGATGTACTCCTAGATTTGTAACTTCAGTGTTGCATTAACTTATTTTTATACTAAAGCTTTAGAAAATAAGGGATAGAAGGTACCTCAGGAGGTCATCTAATCAATCTGCTGCTTAAGGCAGGATCATCTTTGCCTAAATGTCTATTCTGCTCTTAAAACCTTCCAAGGATGGACATTGCACAACTTCTGTAGGTAGTCCATTGCAATGCTCAACCACCCTTACAGTAAAACAGTTCTTCCTAATATCTAACGTAAGTTTCCCTTGCAGCAATTTAAAATGGTTACTTCTTGTCTCATTTTCTGTGATGACAGAGAATAGTTTATCTTCATCCTCTTTGTAATTACACTTCAGGTATTTGAAGACCATTGCCATATCCAGTTTAAGTTTTTTTTCTTCTCCAGATTAAATAATCACAATTCTCCCAACCTTTTCTCATAAATTATGTTTCTTAGATTTCTAATGGTTTCTGTTGCTTTCCACTGGCTGAACTCATTCTAATTTGTCCACATCTTCCTTGAAGTGTGGTGTGCAGAACTGTAAGTAGTGCTCTAGAGGCATCACCAGTACTGAATAGAGTGAAAGAAATGCCTCTCTTGAGTTTTGAATAGTTCCTGTTAACCCACCCAATATGCTTTTGGGTTTCATAGTGTAACACGTCCACTGTTGGCTCATTCTGTGTACGATGCACTGTAACCCTGAAATCCATTTCTGTAGTACCCCAAGTACTTGTCTTCAGACCATTTTTTCCAATTTATCTAAGTCATTCTGAACCCTAACTGTACCCTTCAGTCTCTGCAGCTCTACTGAACTTGGTTTCTTCTGCAAATTTGCTAAGGAAGCATTCAGTCCCAACATATTCATTAGTGATTTGGAAGATAAACAATGCTGGACCCAGGGCAGACCCTTAGGAAATCCAACTTGATATCTTCTCCCAGGTAGATATAGAGCAGTGGCTTGAACCTTTTTTTCATTTGTGGACCCCTAAGCAATTTTGACTGAAGGTGCAAACACATTTGGAAATTTTGAACAGTGGTGTTGACCCCTTTGAATTGTAAGTGTGGGTATTCACATACTTTTGATTGATCATAGTCATCTCTTGCAGACCTCTTGGATGTAAGCTGTGGAACTCAAGGGGTCTGCAGATCGTAGGTTGAAAACCACAGATATAGAGCAGTTAATAAGATGCGTCTTTGATGATCCAACCAATTATGTATTATTCACTTCACAATAGCTTCATCTATACTGTATACCTTTAGTTTGCTAATGAGTGTCATGCTAGATTGTG